ACAATGTGTTTTCTAGTCTATAGAACAATTACCTGGGCATGGACTAATTACTGTCACTGAGCAAAATCACCACCTCCTTCATGCTAGAAGCTTTAATTTTTATTAATGTAGCTGTATCAGGCTGTTAACTTAGGCTAAGTTGTTGGTTAGCCCTCTCCTATATCCTCCAACCCCACCACATTGCTCATTAGTATTTTCCTGGGGTGAAACTTCACAATTTTCCAAATCTGTGCTTCTTTAGCAGCTACAGAATGAATATTTATCTGAGCATTTACTTATTACCCAGTCATTTTACCTCTAATCCTCAAAACAATATTGCAAAGGAATTACTAGCTATGACTCCCTCTTGTCCTCCTTTTGTAAGAACAAAAAAACCCAACAAAACACAAAAGCTAAAAATTTTAAATTGTAGTAGCATAAAATTACCATCTGAACTATTTTTAAGTACACAGTTCAACAGTATCAAGTATATTCACACTATACCAAATTGAACCAATTTCCAGAACTATATCCATTAAGCCCCCCCCCCCCGCCCCCCCGGCTCCTGGCAACCCCATTGCACTTTCTTTTCTGTTTCTACAAATCTGACAACTCACTACTTCAAGCAGTGAGACTCACATAATGTATTTGGGAACTGGCTTCTTTCCTTTAGCATAAAGTCCTCAAGGTTCATCTTTCTTTTGTGTTTTTTCTTTTTAAATTGTTTTATTTATGACAGAGTATGCACACACACATAGTGGGAGAGGAGAGGAGAGGAGAGGAGAGGAGAGGAGAGGAGAGGAGCACCCTCCCCAGGATCTGGTCATGCCATGATCTCCTTCTTCTGGTCCTCTTGCCCCTGGATCTTAGGCACCCACACTGGTATGCTTCAGGCTGACAGTACCAGAGATTCTGAGGTCACAGGGGCAATCTGGCTTCTCTTGAAATATGCATTACTGTTGCACTATGGAGCCGGCACTTTCTCTCTTTTCTTTTTAAGGTTAAAACAACAACAACAACAAAACAAAATGGAAGTGCTTAAGAGATTCATCAAGGCTACTTGGTCAGAGAGTACTGAGTTAGGACCTAAACTGAGTGTCACTTTCTCTGTGGTCCTATCTGGTGTCTCCTAAAAGCGGGATCTACCAGAATGACTTGAGCACTCTGAAAAAAAGTCAACTCTGCCAGACTTCTTGAGTACCTGAGGACCACCCAACAGCGCATGTGGTATTCAGAGTAAGGCTTAACCAGCCTGCCATTAAAAAGACTGGCCTTAAGGGACAGAGTGGCAGTGGAAATCTGAGAAGTACTAATGGAAAGGTGACAAAGGTTACAGCTGCCTAGTAACTAGTTTGGATTTCGACTTTCTGCAAAACTGAGCACACTGAGTAAAAATGCAGGGGCCAAAGTACATGGGTTTTGCAAATAAGGGTAAGTGAGCACCCAAGCTCCTTTGCGATGCCTTACAACAATGAGGCATTTGGGGAACAAGACAATGTGAAAGAAGGGCCAAGTCAGCAGTGCTCTGTGTCCCTGTCTCTGGGGGAGGTGGTAAAGAGCATAGGCTCCAAAGCCAGACTTCAGGGGTCCAGTCCTGACTCTACAAGTGACCAGCTCCTGACCTGTTTCCTCATCTGTGAACTGGGAATCACAGCAGCACTGACCTCGGTGGGCTGCTGCGAGGTCTGTGTGACTCAGTTCGGGCGCCAAGCTGAGAATAGAGTTAAGCACGAGGTGCTGAAGAACGCTCAGCTGCCATGACTGCTGCTAAGGTAGCAAAAGCAGTGCCAGACCTGGTACTGGGTACCTATTTTGTGCCCAACACTGTGCTGGGGACTTCCCACATGACATCCGTGACAAGTGAGAATCAGCCAGTAGGGGGCAACAGCTGGGAGCCCTTCTCAGACCACAGGGCTGCAGCCCATGAGGTGGGACGTAAGGCACCCTCATCAGCAGAACTGCATGGTGCAAACTCTACCATGTCATGGATCCATGGGTCCACTAGTGGATATTATAGAGACAGATTAAGAAAAAGCAGCTACTTTGTAGTGGATGCTCACATGGGAGGTCTGAGGTGCTGGGACCATATTAAAGATGTGGGCAGGGAAATGATGCCTGAGACTATTCCTGTATTTTCCTACCTCTCATGATATCAGGAAAAGGCTGACATGGACAGTTTTAAGTAAAAAAATAAAAATGCAAGAGTAAACTGCCTTCTCACTGAGAGAGAAGCACATTCTGGGATGATAAAAATGGGTGTGTGATTGTGGTTTCAGGCTTAATGGCCTCTAAGCTCTTACCTGGTTTGCTCTTTCGAGGTCTGTCATGATCATTTCAATCTCGTCGGCCCTGGAAGGCGAGAGGGAGAGGGCATGTTAGTTAGCGATAAGACAGGCTTGGGTGGGTGACGTGGCAGATGGCCACATTCACGAGGGTGAGAGCTGGTCCCAGGTACCGGCTGAGAGAAGTCGTGCAGAGCTAGGAGGGATCACTGCTGCACCCTGGGTAGGGCTGGGCTCTCATGGTGGGGGGAGGCACGCCCACTGGCCTCATTGCTCTTTCTCAGACACGAGTCTGGGCACAGGGGTGGCTTGCCCTCAATGGGCTCCCAATCTCGTTGGAGAGACAAAGCCATAAAAACACAAAATACAGTGTGTCCTACCAAGGGTTTAGATAAAGCTCCAAACAGAGTGCTCTGGATAAACAGAGAAAAGAGATGACTTATCCTTGGGGGGGGAATCAGGGAAGGCTTCAGAGGTGGTGTTGGTGAGTGGGTTTTGAAGGATGAACAGAAGTTTGCTGAGCTAAGGAAAGGCCACTTTAGGAAAAGGCACTTGGCACTGAAGGCCTTGCTAGGGCTGAAGAAACTAGAAGGAAGCTGGCTACAGAGGAGGGCAGATGAGGATGAGATGCAGGTTGAGGAGCTCTGCAGTGTAAACCACCTCAGCTCAGGAGCTCACTGCTAGCACCCAGACTGTGCATAAAAAGAGTTCCCAGGTGCTAGGATTTTCCCCCTTCTTGTTTTGAAAATACTTCCTTAAGTAACCTGCAGGCAAACATGTGGTTCCGACATACATCATCACTGAAGGCAAACACATGGTTCTGCCATACATCATCATGAGAGAGGAAACCTGCGAGTCCCATGGAGAAGGGCCCGGCCAGTCCTCAAAGTCTGAGACAGGTTAGAACAAAATAACCAGGCAAATTGCTACCCCAGCTTCTGTGAGACACCTCAGAGGCCACACGCCAAGACTGCCTGTGACCCAGGGGGGTTTCAGCTCACCCATGAAAACAGAGTGAAATGGACCAACCAGAGTGGTTCAGGCCACTGCTGTGGGGGCCTCCTATCCTCTGTCCACGTGCACTTGAGCTCTCTCTCTGGGGCCATAGGACCCAATCCCACCCCTTAGCTGCAAATTGACCCTTCCACACTGAGGCGCCAGTCCCCAGGGCCCTGTGCTCTGACAACTCCTACCATGTGTGAGGCCCTGCATGGCCCTGGCCCAGGCCTCCACCTCTGCTACCAGCCTCAATCAATTGCCTTCCCCTCGAGGAACCTCATTTTCTACTTCTAGACCCCTTCCCCCACCCCTCACAGACCTCGGCCCCACAACATCTCAGAAGCAGTGCGGTCTCTTCTCCCCCATTTGCGGGTCTGAGTTTTCATGTGTAGCTCCATGTATGGTGAGTGCTCTGAAAGCCGGGCTGTTGTCTCCTTTGCCCTAAATCCACAGGACTTTGTGTAAGGCTTAAGGCCAGGTCCTGAAGTGATGGGAGAGCCAAAGGCACCCAGACAGGCCTGACGAAGGCGCAGTTCCTCTGTCCTGCAAGCTGCACTGGTCCCAAGGAGCCACGTGCCAAATGCCTACCTGTCTTTAATGCTGAGAGTTGGAAACATGGTCTTCAGGCCCCTGGGTTGGTCTATTTTTGTGAATTGAAGCTTTTCCAGACTTTAACTGTACAACGTGATTTGAGGTACCCTTATCAACTCCCAGCAGCCTGAATGGGGTCACAGATGCCTTGTGATCAGATTCAGTGCTCATTGTACCTGTTTGAAATCGTATCCTGCCTTTCAGATTGGTCTGAGAGAAGTCTGAAACAGCCCGTCAAATGGCCTAGTTAAAGAAAGCTATTTTTAGGATGATTTTATGAAGAAGACAGTGTCTCCGTAAGATAAATACCCAAACTGGGCCTCTGCAGTGAAGTGCTGGATGCAAGGGGGTTGGGGGGCAGGGGCAGTTTAAATTACAAAATATCTCAGTCATCGCAAACTGAAGCCTCCAAGATCTTACAGAGACGCTGCCATGCAAAGATTGTCTAATAACTGCAAAGGGAGGAGAAAAGTCATTAAAAGTGCCAAGGGTCTTCAACACAACAAAAAAGGATGAGGGACAGTCAATACAGAAAGCTGCTACCTTGACAACTGATTGATAAAGGATTTGGAGTGTGAACTCTAGGAGATATAAAATGAAACAAGGTTACAAACCTTTCCTGAGGCAAATCACTTTAAATATGGGTCTGGGGAACCAGCAGTTAGCGTAATGGCTATGTCGCTGGACTCCCACATAGCCGACCACGGTTCGTGTCCTGGACCCGGTGGCTTAAAACTCATGCCGGGCACGTGTCCATGCGTGCCCAAGATCCCGAGAGGAGAATGGAGGAGAAAGGATTGAGGTGTGACCATCCCCCCTTGGGGGTGATTTCTCGCTTTCTGTCTCTATGTCTCTCTCTGTCTGTCTGGCGAGCGCACGTGCCCTATAGCGAAAACCTCTAAAAAAAAAAATACATATATATATATGGGTCTGAACTTTAACCGTCATGTATTTACAAAAGCCAGATACACAGGGAGAATTTCAGGATTACTTTCACTTGTCCTGGAGTGCACACAATTCAACATGTTGCGTTTTGGGCACCGGGCTGGGGCTCAAGGCTGAGCAGGTAGAGGTTATCATGGCTCCTGCATATCCTGTGAGTGCCACAGATTGAGAAGAAAAAGAGAGAAGTACATAACTGCTGAGGACCCGGAGGAAGCTTTCCAGGGGAATGGAGGCCGACAACAGGAGGCTCACTCCATTCCTGAGCATGCCAGCAAAGCTGGCTACTGACACTGGGAGGTGGAGGAACAGGGCGGGCCTCAGGGCACAAGATCCCAGCACACATCCAGGAGAGGGCTTTTCCTCTTCTGTCGGTTAGAACAAAATAACCAGGCAAATTGCTACCCCAGCTTCTGTGAGACACCTCAGAGGCCACACGCCAAGACTGCCTGTGACCCAGGGGGGTTTCAGCTCACCCATGAAAACAGAGTGAAATGGACCAACCAGAGTGGTTCAGGCCACTGCTGTGGGGGCCTCCTATCCTCTGTCCACGTGCACTTGAGCTCTCTCTCTGGGGCCATAGGACCCAATCCCACCCCTTAGCTGCAAATTGACCCTTCCACACTGAGGCGCCAGTCCCCAGGGCCCTGTGCTCTGACAACTCCTACCATGTGTGAGGCCCTGCATGGCCCTGGCCCAGGCCTCCACCTCTGCTACCAGCCTCAATCAATTGCCTTCCCCTCGAGGAACCTCATTTTCTACTTCTAGACCCCTTCCCCCACCCCTCACAGACCTCGGCCCCACAACATCTCAGAAGCAGTGCGGTCTCTTCTCCCCCATTTGCGGGTCTGAGTTTTCATGTGTAGCTCCATGTATGGTGAGTGCTCTGAAAGCCGGGCTGTTGTCTCCTTTGCCCTAAATCCACAGGACTTTGTGTAAGGCTTAAGGCCAGGTCCTGAAGTGATGGGAGAGCCAAAGGCACCCAGACAGGCCTGACGAAGGCGCAGTTCCTCTGTCCTGCAAGCTGCACTGGTCCCAAGGAGCCACGTGCCAAATGCCTACCTGTCTTTAATGCTGAGAGTTGGAAACATGGTCTTCAGGCCCCTGGGTTGGTCTATTTTTGTGAATTGAAGCTTTTCCAGACTTTAACTGTACAACGTGATTTGAGGTACCCTTATCAACTCCCAGCAGCCTGAATGGGGTCACAGATGCCTTGTGATCAGATTCAGTGCTCATTGTACCTGTTTGAAATCGTATCCTGCCTTTCAGATTGGTCTGAGAGAAGTCTGAAACAGCCCGTCAAATGGCCTAGTTAAAGAAAGCTATTTTTAGGATGATTTTATGAAGAAGACAGTGTCTCCGTAAGATAAATACCCAAACTGGGCCTCTGCAGTGAAGTGCTGGATGCAAGGGGGTTGGGGGGCAGGGGCAGTTTAAATTACAAAATATCTCAGTCATCGCAAACTGAAGCCTCCAAGATCTTACAGAGACGCTGCCATGCAAAGATTGTCTAATAACTGCAAAGGGAGGAGAAAAGTCATTAAAAGTGCCAAGGGTCTTCAACACAACAAAAAAGGATGAGGGACAGTCAATACAGAAAGCTGCTACCTTGACAACTGATTGATAAAGGATTTGGAGTGTGAACTCTAGGAGATATAAAATGAAACAAGGTTACAAACCTTTCCTGAGGCAAATCACTTTAAATATGGGTCTGGGGAACCAGCAGTTAGCGTAATGGCTATGTCGCTGGACTCCCACATAGCCGACCACGGTTCGTGTCCTGGACCCGGTGGCTTAAAACTCATGCCGGGCACGTGTCCATGCGTGCCCAAGATCCCGAGAGGAGAATGGAGGAGAAAGGATTGAGGTGTGACCATCCCCCCTTGGGGGTGATTTCTCGCTTTCTGTCTCTATGTCTCTCTCTCTGTCTGGCGAGCGCACGTGCCCTATAGCGAAAACCTCTAAAAAAAAAAATACATATATATATATGGGTCTGAACTTTAACCGTCATGTATTTACAAAAGCCAGATACACAGGGAGAATTTCAGGATTACTTTCACTTGTCCTGGAGTGCACACAATTCAACATGTTGCGTTTTGGGCACCGGGCTGGGGCTCAAGGCTGAGCAGGTAGAGGTTATCATGGCTCCTGCATATCCTGTGAGTGCCACAGATTGAGAAGAAAAAGAGAGAAGTACATAACTGCTGAGGACCCGGAGGAAGCTTTCCAGGGGAATGGAGGCCGACAACAGGAGGCTCACTCCATTCCTGAGCATGCCAGCAAAGCTGGCTACTGACACTGGGAGGTGGAGGAACAGGGCGGGCCTCAGGGCACAAGATCCCAGCACACATCCAGGAGAGGGCTTTTCCTCTTCTGTCTGGTCCTCGACAAGCCTTTCATCTTTAATTCTGGCTAATTTGTCGTCACCACTCGGATGTCTTCCACATTATTTAGATGTTGCTGGCATGCTCACTTCTGTCCTCTACATCACTCATCCTTTCTTTTACACTTTGCTATTTCTTTATCATTTCCTGC